GCGGTGATCACGGGTGGGGTCAATGTGTTCGCCACGGCCGTGTCGATTTACGGAGTCGACAAGTGGGGGAGGAGGTTTTTGTTCCTCGAGGGCGGGATTCAAATGCTCGTCTGTCAGGTAAATGAAATTACGAAAGAATTCGATCTTTTAAATTAGGAGTGTTCAGGTTGTTTGTGTAGTAATCCTAGATTCAGCTTGTTTAGCTGGTTGATTCGGCTGATTTAGCTATAATATGATTTTTTCCAAAAGTTATAAAAGCAACGATAACTGATTTTTTTTTATTTGAAATATGAATTTCAGATAGTGGTGGCGATCTGCATAGCCGTGAAGTTCGGTGTGGACGGGAACCCGGGGGAGCTCCCCAAGTGGTACGCCATCGTCGTGGTACTCTTCATCTGCATCTACGTGGCGGGGTTCGCGTGGTCATGGGGCCCGCTCGGCTGGCTGGTCCCTAGCGAGATCTTCCCCCTCGAGATTCGGTCGGCGGCCCAGAGCCTGAACGTGTCGGTCAACATGGTCTTCACGTTCGCGGTGGCACAGGTGTTCTTGACCATGCTCTGCCACCTCAAGTTCGGGCTTTTCCTCTTCTTCGGGTTTTGGGTGTGCGTGATGACGGCCTTCGTGTACTTCTTCTTGCCCGAGACGAAGAATATTCCGATTGAGGAGATGGGGGTCGTGTGGCGACAACACTGGTTCTGGTCGAGGTTCGTCGGGGGTGAGGGTGGTTATGCCAATGGGCATGCCAATGGCAATAGCAATGGCAATGGCTCCCTTGAGATGAAGAAGGGAATAGTATGAATATGATGTGAAGGGCAGAAATTCATTCAAAAACATGGATTTTGAAATTTTTGTGTATTTGTAATTTGGTGTTATTAGGGGTGCAATTTAGAATGTAATTGTTGATTGGTCGTGTCACCTGTGTGTACGTGTGACCAAATTTGTTTTCTTAATCTTTTTTCACTTTCTTGTCATATTAAATAGAGATTGTGTGGATTTTTAATTCTTAGTGTCAAAAGGAATTTATGAAATGAAATGATGGTTGTGGTGGTGTCTCTCTTTGTATAATTCCGTCTTTTTTTTTCCTTGTGTGATTAAATAAATATGACATTCATTCAATAAAATACAATAAAAATTAAAACATGATTTTAAATATATATTAGATTTCATCCGAAAGACATAACGATATTCATCAGCGTTTTAAAGAGCCTAATCATAACTCATCTTGAACATATTCATTTAACGAGCTCAATTTTTTTGACGTGTTCTTTCAGTTTATTTAATTAATGGTTGTTTGTATTTAACTAGTGGCTATAGTATTACACATTTGTGCACCATTTTATAATATTTCTATAATTTCGAAAAAAAAAATCAATTGTCCTCGAATTCGTATATTAATTAAGAGCACGAGTTAGCTCGGCTCGTGTAAAGCCCTATCTAATGATTATAATGCACTTAATTAATTAGAGATGTTTGGACTTTTAGGTCAAAGATGACATGCACTAAATTAAGTTTGTTATCCAATCCATTTCACTATTTATTCCATCATTATATCTTGATGAATAAAATAACTGAAATGTGTACCTAAAAGAACTTGGACATTACAAAATGCATTAACATTGGTAACACTAATACAAAATAGACATTAGAACAGAATATCTCACTATTTTTTTTATATATTGTTTTTATATCCCTTGGGACCTCAAAAGCTCAGGTGCATAACCGTCCTGAAAGACTCCTCGACATGTCTTGACCTATATATGCATCTCAGCTGCCTTGATGATTATGGTGGACTCGACTCCACTGGATAACTTCCCTGTCCTCACCGGAGAAGGAGATTCCTCGAAAGATTTTATGGTCGAGTCACATTTGGACGCCTGTTGTTTGATTCTCTGCATCGCCCTCACGTAGTTCAACATGTTGACTGTGTACGCTAATGTTTTTGTACGTAAAAGAAAAAGAAAACAAAATGATCGAGCAAATTGGATTTGATTGGTCAGATTGTTAAATGATTTCAATTTTGAACAGAGGAAATTATGACCAACATATGAAATAGAAAGAATCGAGCAACTGGCTTATCTAGTTGGGATCAATATAATTTCTAGTTGTTATCGAGTTCTAATCGTAAAAAATAAAAAAAAAAAGGCTTGAGATCGATTCAAAAATTAGCTTGAATAATAAGGATGCTATATAATCTTCTTTCTATTTATTGGAGATTGATTTTGGGTCAAAAGGAAAAGCTTTGTATATAGTATTTAAATTATTGTGATATAGCACAAGAGAGCATGTTCCGAATCAGGTCGGACTCGTTAAATTCATCCAAATTCCGGGTGGCGCGAGCTTGTTCTAGAGCTCGGGTGGCGCCAATTAGGAGATATTGCTTCGCGGCGGGATAGAGCATGCCGAGGAAGGGCATGGAATCGTGGTAGAGTTTGAGAAACTCCTTTCAGAAAAGGTCGAGAAACTGACCACCGGAGGGCGAGTATAGGAAGCTTTCGCGGGTCTCTCAGCGCGCGGTGGCCTCTTTTGCGAGTGCCTCCTGCTCGGCTAGGTTGAGCTGGGCGTGCAGTTCGTTGAGGGAGGATTGGTGGCGAGCAATCTCAGAAGCTTGTGCTTTGATCAGACCGGCTTGGCGCGCTACTTCCGCCTTAGTGGCTTTCAATTCGGCCTCTAAGGTATTCGCCTTGGCGGTCTCGATATCATAGCTTTTTTGAGTTTTTGAAATTCGGTGGATGATGGGGCTTCTCCTGCAATGGCTTCGTGAAGGAGGCCAGCGAGCCCTGCGTTAAGCTACACGGGCAAGTCACAGGGTTTGTTAAGTCGGATACGTAAAGCCATAATAGAAAGACGTAAATTCAGATACAATGACGAATATAAACTCACAGAAGCCAAGTGTTTCATGCAATACTTGGCTCGTAACTGACTATCCCCGTCCCAACGGTTGGTCTCTTTGCTTGGGAAGATGGAGAGCAGATACGATGCTTGTTCGGCCGGGTCCTTGTCGGTAGCAAATGCGACGGGTGGCCGGATGGTTGCATCGACACACCCAGAAGTCAATTTTGGAGAGGGGTTCTCCATTTCAATCGGGTCTTTCCGTTTGTATGAGCCTGGGATAATCTTTTTCAGGAGATCGCTGTCGGTGCTAGGTTTGGGGGGCAAAGGCTGGCGGTTCGAACCGTAGATGCTGGTGTTGTGCGAGCTCTTTTTCGGGGCTCTGCTGGTTTGGTGGAGATAGCGCCTGCCATGAATTTATCTGCAGAAACATATATAAAAAGCATTAGTACACGTATAATATGCAGACAAACGATATACTACCATGCAAGAAAAAATATATTCGTTAACGCGGGCACCTAGATCGAAGGGAGGTACTTGTTTACAGGTAAGTTTATACAAAGAGCGCAATTCAACGGGGTTTGTGAGTTCCTCGAGGTGATATGGAACTGCGCTTCTTTGCGCGACAAGCTCGCTCAAACGCGCTACCCTCTTGGGCCGGCGTTTTGGAACATAGGATGTGACCCATTTCAGGTCTAAGGCGAGAGTACCTTTGGGGGTTTCACAAAGAAAAAACGAGTCTTCCAGTGGCTGACTTTGGCTTTTTTTCTCTCTAAGGAATTTAGCGTGGTTCCGGGCACTCAAATTATATGAGTCAGATTGATGTACCTTCAGACTGTAACAATAATAGAAGAGGTCAGAGTCCAATTTTTTAAAATGATAGTGGCTCAGGATGGTGTACCTTATTAGGATACCGATGCTATTAGGCGCAAGTTGGTAATCGGAAATTCGTATGGTTCCATTAGAGTCAACAAGTCCGGGTGAATCGGGAAGCGGAGGCCGCTAGTTACTTGGTCTACGAAGAATGTGTAGTAACCGGAGGGAGATTGGCTATATGAGCTCCCCGGAGAGGGCACGTTGAACACCCAATCATCCGGGAGTTCACAAAATCTCGTAAAGGCCTTGATTTCGGGTTTGGTAGTATTAAAGAAAGGGTTGGAACGAGTCATAACTATGAGTTTAGCGTCTAGTGTTGTGGGTGTGACAAGGCGTTCAGTTTCTATAGTTATAACCGATTGTTTAGTACGTAACTCCGGGGCCAATATCGAAAGAGCGTCGGGAGGGCTGTTATCTAAGACAAGCGAGCCCGGATCAATTATCGGATTTAACGAGTCCCAAGGGACATTTTCCCCAACTTCATCGCAAAGTTGTAAAGAAGATTTAGGGAACGTCGCGCGGGTGGACGTCTCGGGGTGTGCAACAAGACTTTCATCAGAAGAGCTCGTGACGGGTTCGAGGTGTTCGGATGACGAGGAAAGGGACGTCACGTCGAACGGCCTGGAACCTAAAATAAAAAAGAAAGAGAGAAAGAGGAGGAAATGTAAAATATATCCCACAGCTATGAGCAAACGCATAACGGCTGTGACATTAATAGCATGGACTTAGACGCGTAAGGGGATGCTAATGAATCGTGGGGAACGGCCATATCCTTCTCATTTTTCGAAAAATAAGGGTCTAGCAGATTAGGGTATAAATATGGTGTGGATTTAAATGGGTGCATAATTGAGGTGCGGTAAATAGCTCTATGGGTCGCATATCCGAGAGAGAAATCGATCTAGGGGTATCTATGTGCACCAAACAAAATCAAAATAGAGGAAAAAAGAGAATGCAACATAAAGAAGACGGAGGAAAATGTAAGGATGATGACGTACCCATGAGCGTTGGACGGTCGGAAGTTCGTGGTGGTGGCGGAACTGAGCGTCTTCGCCGGTGGGTGTGGCGGAAATCCCAAATAGAGGAAAGTCTTTGCTGCACTTTTGGGGTGGTGAAGATGGGAGAAGGAAAAGTATGAAAGAGAATGGAGGTCTTGGGAAGGGAACACATCTATTTATAGCTAGAGGACCATCATTTTAGTAGGTACACTCAAGTGATTGGATAGGGTACTAGGCACATAGCCTAATGAGAAGGGATGTCATAATGACAGTGAGGTGACCGTTACAAATTTCGAGGTGTCTTTTCGGAGGGCTCGGTAGACGATGTGATTGGGCGTCATGTCCATCTGCTGGGCCAAACGGGCACACGAACTGCTTCTGCTCGGCTTTTGTGGCGAGCGAGCCGTGTGGTGGGGCGTCTTGTATATCTGCCCGGTACTCATCTACGTGGTACTCATCTGCTCGGCCAAACGGGCACCCGAACTGCTTCTGCTCAGCTTTTGTGGCGAGCGAGTCGTGTGGTGTGGCGTCTTGTGCATCTGCTCGGCCAAACGGGTACCCGAACTGCTTCTACTCGGCTTTTGTGGCGAGCGAGCCGTGTGGTGTGGCGTCTTGTGCATCTGCTCGGCCGAACGGGCAGACGAATTGCTCGGATTGTCCTGCTCGGATTTTGTGGCAAAGTGTGTGATTTGTATCTGCTCGGATTTTGTGGCAAACGACCCATGTGACTGGGTGCATTCATCTGCTCGGATTTTGGAGTAGATGAGTTATTTGGTCACACTTTATCTTCGCGGATTGTGTGTCGTCTTGTGCATCTGCTCGGTAAAATGGCACATGAGCTGCTCTGTAGAGCATTTAATTAATTGGCTTGGATTTTGTGGTAAATGAGCATTTGGGTCGAGTATGCTTGGCCAAGCATTTGATTAACCTACTCGTCGTATTTTGGGTCAATGAGTTGCACGGCTAAAGATTCGATTCATCTACTCGCATAACATTGTAGAAGGATTGGTTTGGGTCGGATTTGACAATTCGATACGGCATAGTAAATGCATTGTTCGGGAAAGCGTATGGGAATAATAATTATTAAACAAGTCTATCTACGAAAATAGCTCGTATGGTAATGGGGGGACTAGATGTATATAGCACAAGAGAGCATTTTAGGTAGACCGACAGAAATCAGCTCGGTTCATGAGCCGGAAGTGTGCATGTAGGGTTGTTGGTCGGCCGGATGTAATAGTCTGTCAATGTGCGGGCTCGGCCCAATAACAAATCGGCCAGATGAATGGATCAGGTAGGTTGAAGAGGTGGACGGGCACTTAAATGGGCTTGATAGTTATCACATCAGCGGATGAAGGAGCAAACGTGTAAAGGAAGCTAAGGACTTACATATAAGTAGGTAGAGCAGGTATGACGGTAAAGTCTAAGTTTTTACCTCACAAAAACCCTAATATACAAACTGAGTTTTCTTCGATACTCCACTAACTTGAGCGTCAGAGGTTTACTGCCGGGAACACTTCCCAGCGTCTTTGCAGATTTTGGAGGGCACAAGCGGTTGGGTTCAAGGAGAGTCGATCTAGTGTGCAACAGCACATCATATTGTATTTTAAATATTACTTTAATATACTCTCAAATCCCACTAACAACTAATTGTATTACCTTTTTTTAAGTTAACTATCGCTAACTAAAAAAATTCCTTTTGAGTTAATTTGATTTAATTTATCCTTTTACAAACACATCTTAAAACTCGTAGGCCTTAGCACAAGGTAGGATTATATTTTCCCATGGTGTGATGAGATGTTGGTTGTTCAATATTACAACGGGTTTACACGGCAAAATTGTATGTTTACTTAAAGATTTTAGCTATAAATCCCGTCAATTAAAATATTCTTTAATTTAAAATTTCTCAAAAATTCAATCAAAAATTAATATTACTTATTATATATTTTTTAACAAAAAAATTATTACTCTGACACTAAAAACTTTTTTTAATTACAATTATTCTATTTTTATTATTTTTGCACAATATCGCTCTAATTTATTTATTTATTTTAATATATTTCCACAAATTTAATTTATGTCAAGGCCAGTCAGCCTGGCTTCACGAACCAATATCCGGACCAAAATACCGAACCTAAGGGCTGCAAAGGGGTCCGGTCCGAACCTCATTCCTTTCTTCATCCTCCATTTCATTTCGCGCCGCCTTTGCTTCAGCTTTTCATCACACGCACAAGACTATCGTCTTTTTTGCATCTCCACGATTTCTGTAAACCAGTTTTTGCCACTCAAACGACGTCGCATTTCGTCCTTCGGCAGAGGGAGACAGAAGTAGGTGATATTGATTGTTTATATGCAATTTGTTGCTGTAAATCTTGAATATTGTGCTTGATCCATATGGTTGAACATTCGTCGTTAACCCATATAAGATGCTTGACGGCAAAGCCGTAGCGTAGGTGCCCAGCTTTCGCCATGTTGAGGTCCGTTGAAGCTCTTCTGTTCATCAATCCTTTTGTTTTAAATTGTTTTTTTTTCTCGATTCGTTTATTTTTGCCAATTGGGATTGTGTTATCTTCTGAATAGTTCCCGATTTTCGTATGTTTATCTGGGTTTTGTGGTTTTTGGGGCAGCTGGATCATCTATTCTGTTGTGTTCTGAAGAGTATCTGAAGTCTGAATGTCTTAGCTGAGAAGCATTAATGATTTACAGTTTCTAACTATATATGCGTACGGTTTGAATCTAGTGTGTGTTGATTTGTTGATCATATGTTGTCCTCAGTGGTGTTGGAAATAGATGATATTCGGGTGTTTTCTTGATTAGACATTAGATAGATAGGCTTATTATACTACTTAGAAAATGCAGATTACTGACGGATAGAAACATCAGGCGAGCATCCCAATCTTTGTGTACAAAGCGGCTTAGCATCTCTTCACAGGGTTCGAAATATGGACACACTGTTAAAACTGGCTTGTTTTTGCCTCAATATAGATCACTCACGCATTACCTTCTTCGCACCAAGAGACATGCTTCTAATGCAGTGTCTGAAATGGGGAAAAGGGGGTTTTGCATTAGTTTTATCAGGCATTATTCAGCCTTCCCCACCAGTTACACCATAGCCCACCACGTCCGAGTTGCTTTGAATCGGCTGGCTCAAATGTCTGCACACAGCAAGTGTGCTCGATTGCCGATAAACCGGATAGCCCAGGCAGTCAGCTTGAGCCTGACCCGTTCTTACATAGCTGTGCCCGGCATATTCTCCCTCATGTGTGGGTCCCACTTAGCGTGGGCTGAGGCCCCCCTCGAAACAGACATATCTCATCCAAGGAGTAATTTCTATACTCACGCTGAGGAAAGCCATCTCTTTCTAACCAGATTTATATGCGCCACGTTCGAAAGCATTTTCTTGCTGCTTAGAGCTCTTTATCTGGCAGTCCTGTTCACCCCCTGCATGGTCATGGCCCCATTTGCCGATAGCTTCGGGCCCGAGTTCAGAAAATCGTGGCTCCAGATCGTGCATCGGACACTGGAGAGAGCAGGCCCAGCTTTCATAAAGTGGGGCCAGTGGGCCGCCACACGGCCTGATCTATTCCCGAGGGACTTGTGCGCCGAGCTCTCCAAGCTCCAAATGAAGGCACCGCAGCATAGCTTCGCCTACACTAGAAAAACGATCGAAAAGGCGTTTGGTAGTAAAATTTCTGAAATATTCGACGATTTTGAGGAGGAGCCCGTTGCCTCAGGGAGCATTGCGCAGGTCCACCGGGCTTCCCTGCGGGCCCGGCACAGTCGGGCCAAGCCCATTTTGGTGGCGGTTAAGGTGAGGCACCCGGGGGTCGGTGAATCCATAAAGAGGGATTTTGAGATAATTAACTTGGTTGCGAAGATTTCAAAATTCGTGCCTTCCTTGAATTGGCTGAGGCTGGATGAGAGTGCTCGGCAGTTTGCCGTGTTCATGATGTCACAGGTTGATCTTGCTCGGGAGGCTGCTCATCTGAGCCGGTTTATATACAACTTTAGGAGGTGGAGGGATGTGTCTTTCCCTAAGCCCGTGTACCCGCTTGTTCATCCGGCGGTCTTGGTGGAGACTTTCGAGCATGGGGAGAGTGTCTCTCACTATGTGGATGAGATTAGGGGAAATGATCGTGTTAATAGTGCCTTGGCCCACATTGGGACCCATGCACTGCTAAAGATGCTTCTGGTTTGTTATCTCTCTCTCTCTCTCTCTCTCTTTGTCTCAAGTTTTATTTTCTTTGTTCATCGTACATTATAATTTGGCAATGGGATCCATGCACTGCTATAGATGCTTCCTGTATGTTATCTCTCTCTCAAGTTTTATTTTGTTTGTTCGTCGTACATTATAATTTGGTAATGCTACACACTCTCTCTCTCTTTTCTATAGAGGAAAGATTGAATTTTAGTTTAGGACCTTATGATAAGACTGCTCATCACATGGTGAAGTGCCTAAGCAGGTTATTGAATTGATTTAAGCTTGACTAATTTTATTTCCGGGTTCTAGGTTAATAAATGAATCTATGGAAGGTCATTTTTGGCCTGGGGCTTTATCGGTCCTTGTTATGCAGTTTGTTTCTGTCTATGATTTGCTAATTTGTTGAGTATAAATTTATAAACCTGGGGCTTTATCGGGTCTTGTTATGCAGTTTGTTTCTGTCTAATTTTTTGCAACATGAAGCTATCTTTTAATCTCGTTTAACAAACTAGGGAGCATATGTATTGGGATCTTAGACTTACTACTAATTATTGAATGGCACATCGATTTTTAGACTTACCATTTTCTCTATGAAGTTAACCGTTCTACTGATAAAATGGATTGGGTACTACAAAATATATACCAAACACTTCTCTTATTCCCTTATTTCAGCTGAAATATGATTAACGACAGATATATTACGTGTCTAATGTCTTTCTTTTTTTTCCTTTTCTTTCATTTTCAGGTGGACAATTTTGTCCATGCTGACATGCATCCAGGTAACATTCTCGTCCGTGTGGCTCAGACCAAGCCGAATATCAAAAAGCTCTTTAAAACCAAACCCCACCTTATTTTCCTTGACGTGGGCATGACTGCCGAGCTCTCAAAGAATGATCGTGTGAATTTACTCGAGTTTTTCAAGGCTGTTGCCCGTCGAGATGGTCAAACAGCAGCCGAGTGCACACTCAGATTATCAAAACGGCAAAAATGCCCAGAGCCCAAGGCTTTCATTCAGGTTCATTGTCTGCCATTTTATTTCCATTTTCAGGTTTAGAATGATTTTCCGTGTATTTCTTTTCTAACACTTTTTGCTTTGATCTTGTTTGTTGCTTTTGACAGGAAGTGAAAAAATCTTTCGATTTTTGGGGTACGCCGGAAGGTGATTTGGTGCATCCTGCTGAGTGCATAGAGCAATTACTAGAGCAAGTTCGCCGTCATAAAGTAAATGTTGATGGCAATGTTTGCACTGTTATGGTCACAGTTTTGGTGCTCGAGGTACTCATTTGAGATTTTAAGAGGGTGTTTGTTTACTAAAAAATTCATACTTATACTCAAATTTAATTCAATTTTAAGTCAACCTCACTATCCTCAATATTATCAATATAATTAAATAATATCAATCAACCATTTTTACACATCACATCAACTTCAATTCACTATTCATCAACTCACATAATTTTAACTAACCACCACTTCACATCATCTATCTCTTACTATTACATCAAATCAATTTTAATTATTTTATTTTAAATATTATTTTCATATCCTACTTAAAATTAACCAAATATTTCTTTCAAAATTAATCATGGTTAACTAAAAAACCAGTAAAAAATGGTTTATTTGTATCCAAACACGCTCTTAAAAGCCTTACGAAATTCTGTGATATTTAACTTGATTTGTTAAGACTTTTTTAAGATTTGTTGGGATTTCAAAAGAAAAAATCATATATGAAATGTCACTCCAAATCCCACCTCCACGATAAAATCTCAAAAAGTCTCAAAATGTCACTCAAAATTCTAAACGAATAAACCTCCGTAAGCCAAAGACAAATCAAATGTAAACAAAAAGTTACAAGCTTAGCGCTTGAATAATACAGAACATACCATTTTACTTGATTTATCAGCTGCTATTGTATTATGAATCCTTTTTTAGTCAGTCCTAAAAATTTTGACTTATTAGGGCTGGCAACGGAAGCTCGACCCGGATTATGATGTCATGCATACATTGCAAACACTTCTCTTGAAAGCCGATTGGGCCGAGTCGCTTTCCTATACGATTGAAGGGCTGATGGCGCCCTGAGTTTTTTTGACAGTGTAGAAGCATTGGAAGCTGTGTATTGAATATTCGCACGATTGTGTTTTGCTTTTTGTGTATATAATATAAATTCGTTGTGACATGTTCAGCCGGCTCTTGCACGAGCCATATGTGCTGCTCAATCACAATTTTTGTAAGGATGTGTAATGTTTTCTTGTATTAATTCATTATACTGATCTGCAAAAACAAGTAGACTCATGAGGAGACAATGAGGAGCCTGCAACTTTTTTTTTATTCTGTAAGAATTAGTTTGCAGTAACCATTTATTATGCACCATGCTTTTTTTTTTTGGCAAGTATGCACCATGAATTTTAGGGACAAAAATGTTATGAACTGCACAATTCAAAATGAGATCAATCATGTATGTACATGAGTTTCTTGAGAACATTTGTAGAACGGGAAGTTCTGATCGAAACACATTGATTTTGCCATGTTTTCGTAATGTGAAAACACGTGTCTTGCCATGTTTTCACATTGTGAAAAAGAAATGCAGTTATTCTTTATTCGGCAATTTAACAAATTGTTGTGTAAGACGGTCCAATCTAGGTAAAAATGTGTAGAATGAAAAGTTCACTTTCGCCAAGTTTTCACGCTATGAAACAGAAATACAGTAAGTTAACAAATTATTGTGTGAGACGTCCAATCTAAATGGGAAAGTGTAGAATGAAAAGTTCATTGGACAGACCTAATCGAAGCATGTCAGTTTCGCCATGTTTTCGCAATGTGAAAACACGCGTTTCTTCATGTTTTCACACAATGAAATAGAAATGCAAACATTCTTTAATCGACAAGTTTGACAAATTTTGTGTGAGACGTACTAATCTTGGAATGTGTATAATGAAAAGTTTGTTGGGCAAAACTGATCGAAACACATCGGTTTTGCCATGTTTCACAATGTGAAAACACATGTTTTGACATGTTTTCACTTTGTGAAACAGAAATGCAAACATTTTAATCGACAAGTTAACAAATTATTGTGTGAAACGACCTACATTAGGTGAGATGACCCGTTGTACTAATATAATAAATATCATGTTTTTTGTTCATGTTTTTTTTTTTTTTTTAAGTATGACATTTTTTATTTGGAAGTACATATAATTGTTCGAAAATTAGATGGTTATGTTTGGTAAACCTAGTTGATAGCTGATAAAATAGTTGGTAGCTGATAAGTGATTTTTGAGCTTATAGTTATATGTTATGACTTATAGATGAAAAACTAGCTTATATGAGAAAAGTTTCAGATATAATTAACTTATAAGCTAAAATAAAATTTTCAACAGGTTTATTTGAAAAGCTACTCAAGGAAATTTATGAAATAAACTCGAGTTTTTTTTCTTATAAAAAAAAAACCACAACTCAGTCTTAGTGTCTTACCAAGTGAATCTTATTTAAAAATAAAAAAGCTATAAGCTAACCAAACAAGTTATATAAATTAACTTATTTGACTACTAAACAAGTAAACATAGTCTTAAGTGTAAAACAGAAGTGGCTGATCTCATCTTCTTTGAGCTTTCCAGAAAAAAAGGGATACATATAACAGCAACAAAATTGTGTACCAATTATTTATATTGTATAAATGGAACTGGCTGATCTCATGTCCTTTGAGCTTCCAGAAAACAGGGATATATGTAACAGTAACAAAATTGTACACCAATTATTATATTGTATAAATGTCAAATACTATTCATACTGACTGGCATATGAAAATACAATTGAAAAGCATTGAACTTCCATATTAAATTATTAATATAAAAAATATATACTTATATAATAAGGTATCCTATTTACCAAATTTAGTAGGTTGAAATGTCAATGTAATTAATGCATTGCTATTTTTATCTAGATTTTTATTTAATTATTTTATTTATTTGTCTTATATCCCATAAAATCAGTTTAAGAAAAAAAAAATCTCATAACATCTGATAAGTAAAAAAAAAAAACGTAAAATTTTTACTAAAATAAAAAATATTTCATTTATTTCGTCTTATTCCATATTAACATCGATTTTGTCAAAACAAATCTCATAAAATCGGTGAAGTCAAAATTTGTACGTAAAGTCTATCTATACTAAAAAAAAAAAGCAGATTTAAAATTCCTTATCTAATTCATTCTTTTCCTTATCTAATTCTTTCTTATTATCTAATTGTATGGAAATCTGTTCTGATTTTGTTCAATCCTCTAAT